TCATGCGTGTGGTGAGTGGTCTCAGCATGGTTGTGGCTGGTTCAGGGAGCTTTCGGCAGCAGGGGTTCTGCTGGGGCAGGGAGGGAAACTCAACCCGCCCCCTTCCAAGGGCGCCGCCCCCCCCCCCCCTCCTGAGGACAGCCAGGTGCGGGGGCAGGAGGCTTTCTAAATTAGTGATTAGTGAAAGTAAATGTAGGTTTTTACTGTCAAAATCTTTTAATAAAAAGGTGATTTTAGGGAGCTGGAGAGATAGCACAGCGGGTAGGGCGTTTGCCTTGCACACGGCTGACCCGGGTTCAATTCCCAGCATCCCATAGGGTCCCCTGAGCACCGCCAGGAGTAACTCCTGAGTGCAGAGCCAGGAGTAACCCCTGTGCATTGCCAGGTGTGACCCAAAAAGCAAAAAAAAAAAAAGGTGATTTTAATTGTTATCGAGGTTTGTAGCACTATTACAGGGTTCAAGTGCATAGTTCAGGGGCTCAGCAGATGTGTATATGACACGATGTTACCACCAAATAACCAGTTGCTATAATCACCAGGGGCCTGGGTGATGCTGCAGTGGGTAGAGGTGCTTGCCATGCAGATGGCTGACCTGGTTTCCATCCCTGGCATCTCATACAGTCCCACGAGCACCGCCAGGAGTAAGACTTGAGCACTGTTGGGTGTGGCCCAAAAAAAACCCCAAAATCTCTCCATCACTAGCCAGTTAACCCCTCTGTTTACCTGTCCTTAGCCTCTTTGGTAAGAGTCTTAAGGATTTGTTTTTATTTTGTTTCACTTGAGTGAAATTCAGTAGTTGTCTTTCTCCTGATGTTTTCATTTAGCATGACTCCTTCAAGTTCCATCTGTGTTGTTGCAAAAGGTAAAACTTAATTTCTTTTCCAGTGTCTGAGTTGTATTCCATTCAGTATGTATGAACACCACATCTAAATAATCCAGTCATCTGTCATTGGGAGCTAGGTTGCTTTGCATCTTGTCTCACGAATAGTACTTTAGTCAACAAAGGAGTGTGGGGGGGGGAGGGGGGATTGATGTGTTCATACTCTTCAGATAAATACCCAGAATCTGGGGACTTCTTTATTTTTTTTTTAAAGTTTTGGAGCTACACCTGGCCGTGCTCAAAGTTTACATCTAGCTCTGCGATCACCTCTGACAGGCTTGGGGGACCCTGTAGGGTGTCAGGGATTGAAATACCTTATTCACTGCATTCTCTCTCCATCCCTAATATTTATATTATTTTTAGGAACTTCCATGCTGATTTTCCATGGCAGCGACATTAATTTACATTCCCACCTTATAGAGCATAAATGTTATCTTTTTTGTGTGGGAAGCTAGGTTTTTTTTTATTTGTTTGATTTTGTCTTGGGACCACACTCAGCTGTGCACAGAACTCACTCCTGACTCTAAACTCAGGTTTCACTCCTGCTGGTGCTCCAGGGACCACATGAAGTGCTGGGAATTGAACCCACGTCAGCCATGTGCAAGGCAAGCACCATACCCACTGTACTATGGCCTCAATAGTTTGCATTGAAAAAAATTTACTTGTGAGAGGAAAGAAAAAGAGGAATACTTGTTCAGGAAAGAGCACAGACTTCTCCAAAGTGGGCAAAGCAAGCAAAGCAAGAAGCAGAGAGAAACTTGTAAGGGTTCTAGAACACAGACTTGAGATGATGAGCTTCCGTTTCTACCTGACCTCCTCAACACTTGGTCTTTCTTTTTTGCTTGATTTTTGTTTTTCTTTTCCCTTCCCTTTGTTGTTGATGTTGTTGCAGTGACTGGTGCTGGAACTCTTGGTTGTAGTAACTACACACTTGAATTGCCACTTTCAGCACACACATTGTTGTGGTGCAGTGGCTGTTGCTCCTTTGCCCTTCGAGGAGGACAGCTTTACTGATTGAACTTCAGCTCTATGTCTCCTTAACTGTACCTCTTCTAGACTTTGGGTAACAGCCAGCTGTTCTCCCCATTATGGGGTGAAATCTCATTGTGATTTTGATTAAATTTCCCTAAAGATTAGCAGTGTATTTTAGGCATCGATGACCCCTTCTGTATGTTTTTGGTGAAATGCCTCTTTAGATCCTTTGCCCTTTTTTTTTAAAACTGGTTATGGTTTTGTTTGAGTTGTTACTTAACATATTTTAAATGTTACTCCTTTATATATTTTTTTTTATTTTTCTTTTGGGGTCATGCCTGACATTACTCCTGGCTCTGCACTCAGGAAATACTCCTGGTGCTTAGGGGACCATATGGGATGCTGAGAATCAAACGCAGGTTGCCAACATGCAAGGCAAACACCCTACCCGCTTTGCTATTGCTCCAGCTCCACACGTTACTCCTTTTAATGTCTGAGATAATGGTTTACAGATATCTCCAGCGTGTAGCTCAGCTTATAAATTCAGTGTGCTTCCTTCCCTTGCCCCCTCCTCCCCTGCAGCGCTGGGGAGTACACCCCAGGCTCACATGTGCAAGACAAGCAGTCTCTCAACGAATTACATCCTCCGCACTGCCTTTTCATTTTAGTGATTTTTTTTTCATAGAGAAGTCTTTAATTTGACATAGTCCCGTGTGTACATGACTTATATTCTCTTTTATCTTACTGTTGGAGATGAAACCACCAACATCACTAAGGTTGATACCAAAGAACTTAATGAACTATTTTAGTCTAAGGAAAAGTTAGTTTTAATAAGTTTCAGGGAGTTTGGCAGATAAATCGTATCTGCAGTATAGTAAGACGTTTGCCTGGCATGCAGTTGACCTTTATTTGACCTGGCACTTCATATGACTGCATGCAGAAGGCCCAGGTTTGACCCTTATGTACCACCTGGCATGGCCCAAAAAACACAAAAAAGAATTCTTCCTTGCTAAGCAAGGTGTGCGTGCGCACACACTTTCTTCCTTCCCGCTCCCCCAGCATGTATTATTTCAACTTACATATTTCACTGTTCAAATCTTTAACCTATTCTTATTTTCGTGAAGCACAATAGTTTTTAATTAAAAATTAGAAAGATGTGAGGGTAAACGAGAGGAAATACGTGTTTGAGAGAATAGAGTGGAAAAAGCAGGCCGAGATCAAGCAAGGTACATGTTCAAGGGAAAATACTAGCTTAAAGAACAAGCTGTTTTACTTTACCCATATGCTTGTTCTGGCAATACTCTTAATTATTACAGGTGTAGAAAATATATGGAGATAAGTCTTGTACCCGTCACTTAGGTTATAATGTATTACATATAAAGTCATAGTTTCTTGGGGACTTTTTTCCTTCCCACATTTCCCTAGAGTTGCCGTTTTGAATTCTTATACCTCTGTTATTTCTTATACCTCTTAATCTAAAAATATATGGAGCAAGGCAAAATAAGCTTCAAACTAAAATTAACAGTGTTGACCAGAATTCCCCACTGATGCAAGCATACTTTCATTCTATAAAACTCTCTTGAAACTCTAAGAATGTCGGAAATTTACCAGCTAAGTATGTGTCATCTCTTAACTTTTAAATCAAAGTGTAAGAGTCTCTGTGTCTTAATATCTAGGTGTCTTTTAAGAAGAAAATACGGGGAAAAAAAGAAAAAGAAAATACAGGGCTGGAGCAATAGTACAGTGTTAGGGCATTTGCCTTGTTCAATCCCTAGCAGCCCTTTGGTCTCCTAGGCTCCCCTAGGAATGATCCCTGAATTCACCTTGAAAGCTGCCAGTATTACCCCAGAAAACAAAAGAAAAAAGGAAAAAACATGAAAAATGTTATGATTGCTTATGTTAAAATTTTTATTGAGGTTAACATGATTATAGTTGTATTAACATGTATGTTTTAGGCATGCAATGTTACTTATTTGTCACACGTGTATATCTCCACCTAGTTTCCTTGCCCTTCTTTCCCCTCCTTTTTTTCTTTGTTGAATGCCGTGTTCAGGGACTACCCCAAGTGCAGTTCTACAGGGACCCTGTGCTCCTAGGACTCAGACTCAGGACTCCTCCATGCAGTGCAGAGCGTGCTCGCTAGCCCCTTCAGCCACTTCCTTGGCCAGATGCCACAAATTCTTTATCTACTTGTCTGTTGTTGAGCACTTGAATTTTTCCAAGGTCTTGATATTTGTAAACAAATGCTGTGGTGAGCATAAGGTATATGAATCTTTGCGAATCAATGATTTTGTTTTGGGGGGTGGTTAAAACAAAGGAGTGGGATTACTGGAGCATAACAGTTCTGCTTTGAGTGTTTTAAAGAAGTCTCTGCTGTTCTTCATAATCTTTTTCATAGAACTAGATTGCATTTTTAACAGTGAATAACCAAGCATTTGCTATTCCCTGATTTATTTCTTTATATTGTACATCGGAGAGATACTCTACAGATTCATCCATGTAGTAGCAAAGTGCATGATTTTCCTTTATCCTAACCAGCACTGGTTGGCTGTAACTTTTTTGATATAGGACACTGGTGTGAGGTAATTTCTTCTGACCTATCTTTTTTGATTTGCGTTTCCTTAATAGTGATATTATGGTTATTACTAAATAATTTGGTAGTTGATGACTCTGATGAACAGAAAGTTATGTGATCATGACAAGCTACTTGCATGTATGAGAATATAAGTCTGACATCAAAAATCTGCATTTCTGGATTACCTTTGTTAGCTAACTGGAGAAATGGATATATATAAAAACAAAACTTGGACAGCTCAGTGGGCTGGAGCACATGCTCTGTGTGCAGTAAGCTTAGATTTAATTGACCCCAGAATTAGGTGGTCCCCAAGTACCACCAGGAGTGACCTTATGTAACCAAGGATGCCTCCTGAGGCACTGCTGGGTGTGTCCCAAACACACACACCTCTCCTGAGGAAAAAAACCTTGGGTTCAGGCGGCTTTTCTAAATTTTTTTTAATCATTAAAAGAATTATAAGCTATTATGTTGTAGCTATCAATGGTGACATGTTAATGTCTAAATTAAGAGATTATGTCATTTTGCAATTGTATATATAATGATTATTCTTTATGTGATACTTTTTATTTGTAGAGATTGATTCCTGTGGCCTTTTAAGTGATTGAATAATGATGGAAATGGATCCAAAATAATAAGTGATTTCTCTACTGAAGACATAGAAGAATTTTTATATGACCTTGCAGTATTTGATTCAGTCTTCTGGAAGGAACAGTGGAACCAAGTGACATACAGAAAACAGAAGAGAAGAAAACCTCACTTTTGGAACTTTATCCTTGTCCCTTAAGATTTTTTCCTCCCCATTCCCACTCCTTTCTACTTGTTTTAAATTTGCTCTGAGTTTATAGTGAAGACCAAAGACATAGAAGATACATTTGAAGCTTTATAGCAGGAAATTTACCTTGAAAGCTGCTATTCTGTGGAGGAGAAAGTATAAGAAGTTCCTGACTTTTTTGTTATTATTAAGATTTCTCATATCCTTAGATTTTGAAGGATAAGACAATTATTTTTTTTAAAAAAACACATCCATGTACTTTTTAGCAGCTGTGCATGAATTATGAGATCAGTAAATTAAGGGCCTTTCATGTCAGTGTTTTGCCTCTGGAGCTGACTTCTCAGAAGATCTTTTATAACTCTTTAAGATTTTTATCTTTTACTTTGATGACATTATTGGCCCACATGAGACTATCTCTTTTTCCAGTTATGATCTTGTTATGAAAAGCGTTTGCGCTCACTGTGCAAATGTCCATGTATTATCTATTTAATAATAGAAGTGTCACTCAAGACAATTGAATGAGGTGAACATAGACTTAGCTTTTTCCCCTTTCCCCCATTTTTTAAATGTAACAAATACTTTTTATGTCCCCCTTCCCCCTTCCCCTTTCCCTTTTCCCCTTGGAGACGTGTCAGAAACTAGATAGTAGTTTAAGATGAGCTATCGAGGGAACTGAGTGAGCGACGCGGAACCCAGCTTCTTTGTGCTTCATCACAAGGCTTTGGACAAGGCTTGCTGCTGGCCAGCCTAATCAAGCACCCTTTTACCAAGAAAACCTCGTGGGAATTCCAGCGTACAGTCAAGGCGTCAGGAAACAGGACCGCAGAGGTTGCACTCTGGGGTAAATATTCTTCTGTATTTAACTTGGGAAGAAGGCTTATCACTGACTCCCTTACACGTTGGTATCGGGTTCTGGCAGGTGTAAGCGATTGGAAATTTCTTGTTTTCAGATCCTGGCCATGAGGTTGGATGCCTCACCTTGCTGAAAAGAGACACTGGACCTAAATGGCGCAGCATGACTTTGTTCCTGCTTGGCTAAATTTCTCCACACCACAGTCAGCTAAGGTGCTATTCTCTATTCCGATAGTGATTATCCAAATATTACTTCTCATCTCCGACTGGTTTATTCTTTTGAGAGTTTTGGGGGGTCACACCCGGTGGTGCTCAGAGCTTCCTCCTGGCTCTGTGCTCAGTGATCACTCCTGGCAGGGCTCAGGGACCATATGGGATACCAGGGATCAAACCTGGGTCGTCTATGCCCAAGGCAAGTGCCATCTCCACTGTACTGTCCCTGCAGCTCAATGTGGTTTATTCTTCGTGGTTGTTGACAGAGTTGTGGTTTGTGTTTTTTTCCCCAACCTCTCTGTCCTGCAAAGTCACTGCCTTTTGGAATAAAGGAAATGAGTCAATGATTAAATGTTTAACTTAGAATTTCTGTCTCAGAGTTCTATAATATCCAGATGGCTCATGCTCACAGTGGGGTTTCAGCCATCATTTCTAAAAGTCTAAAAAAATGAAAATTAGAAACTTTATCTACCTATGTTTTGCATCTCTGTATCATCTCAGTCATCTACGGCCACCTTTGAAAAACACGGAGAGCACCTACCACGAGGAGATGGTAGATATGGAGTAAGCCGTCGTAGACATAATTCCTCTGATGGCTTTTTCAACAATGGACCTCTGCGAACTACAGGAGGTAAGCCATGCCCAACTTCCATGAGTACTTTTAAGCTAGTTACAGACTTCACTGGGAGATGTATAGCTGTAACTTTAGTAATCTATTGGGAAGGGATCTCTCAGGCAGTGCTCTCAGGAGGTCCAGGAAAACCTCTGAATGTGATGCTGCTTGGTCCTGAGGTGTCAGGGATTACTCCAGTCACCCCAGTGGTGCTAGGTGACCTCCAGGGCTGCACTCAACAGTATTCAAGGAACCACAGTGGTGCTGGAGATTGAAGTAGGGTTGACCTCATGCAAAGCAAGTGCCTTAACCTGTGTACTGTCTGGTCCTTGAATAATTTTTTTGTTTTGTTTTGGAGCCAAACCTGATGATACTCAGGAGTTACCTCTGGCTCTGCACTCACAACTACTCCTGGTGGTGTTTGGAAACCAAAGGGAATGATGGGGATCAAACCTGGGTCAGCTGTGTGCTAGTTATCTGCGCTACCCACTGTACTATCAGTCTGGCCCCTTAATAATAATCTTTTAAAAACATTATTTTTAAATTATTTATTTATTTATTTATTTTACTTTTTGGGTCACACCCAGCAATGCACAGGGGTTACTCCTGGCTCTGCACTCAGGAATCACTCCTGGTGGTGCTGGGGGCGGGGGTGGGGTGGGGTATGGGATGCTGGGAATCGAAGACGGGTCGGCCATGTGCAAGGCAAATGCCCTACACGCTGTGCTGTCACTCCAGCCCTTAAAAACAATTTTTAGATCAGAGATATGACTGAGTGGCAGTGCACTTTCCTTGCATGTGCAAAGCCTTGAGTTTAGTTTCTAGCGCTATGTGGCCCCCCAATCACATGTGATTGCTAAACCAAAATTTTTTGTTCTGTTTTGTTTTGGGACCATACTTGGCAATGCTCAGGTATTATTCCTGGCCCTGCACTCAGGAATTAACTTTTGGCTGTGCTCAGGGGATCATTCATGCTATAACTCTGGTCCCCAAAACAGAATTTTAAATAACACAATTTTGGGAGCTGGAGCAATAGTACATTGGATAAGGCACTTGCCTTGCACATTGGCCAACTCCATTTCAATCCCCAGCATCCCATATGGTCCCCGGAGCACTGCCAGGAGTGGCACCCCCAAATAAAAAGCTTGATTAAAGAAATAAAAAACACAGGGCTGGAGCAATAGCACAGTGGGTAGGGCATTTGCTTTGCATGCAGCTGACCCGGGTTCGATCCCCAGCATCCCATATGGTCCCCCGAGCACCGCCAGGAGTAATTTCTGAGTGCAGAGCCACGAGTAACCCCTGTGCATTGCCGGGTAAGACCCAAAAAGCAAAAATAAATAAAGACAAAATTCTCAGGTCCTCCAGTGGTCATTTAACGCAATTACATTGACTTACAAAGTGTGGCATTCTTATACTTAAATGCATCATTTATTCAGTTGAGAAACTTATGTAGAAATTATTTTAAAAGAAGTATATTTTGTTTTGTTTTTTGTGGGTTTAAAAAAGATCCCCTGAAGAACTTTTCAGCAGTCCTATAAACGAGATCAGGAAACATTTGATCCAACTCTTTCTGAATTTCCAGGAAGCAAACATCCATGTCTCTTACTTTTTCTTATTAGATTCCTGGCACCAGCCCTCCCTGTTTCGTCATGATTCTGTGGACTCTGGTGTTTCTAAGGGAGCATATGCTGGAATCACAGGGACCCCGTCTGGTTGGCATGGCTCTTCACGAGGTCACGATGGCATGAACCAGCGTAGTACAAGTGGCACAGGGAACCATCGCCACTGGAATGGCAGCTTCTACTCTCGGAAAGGCTGTGCCTTTCAGGAAAAGCCTCCCACAGAGATTAGGGAAGAAAAGAAAGAAGACAAAATGGAAAAGTTGCAGTTTGAAGAAGAAGACTTTGTAAGTATGAGGATTCAGATGTATTACTTGAAATCTTATGAAGTCTCAGTAGAAGATACTCTAAACTGGCTCTGGAGCCAAGTGGTACAGCAGGTAGGGTGTTTGCCTTGCTCTTGGCCAATTGGGTTACACCCCTGGTCCCCCAGCACCACTTGGAGTGATTCCTGAGCACAGAGCCAGAAGTAAGCCCTGAGCTCCCCTGGGTGTGGGGCACAACCCCCCCCCCAAAAAAAAAACCCTTTAATTACTAATGAATCGCTTTACCAATTATTAAAAAATCAGTTCCCTGACCTTGCGTTTTTCTTTTTAGAGAGGAGTTAGTGTTAGTGTCAGCATTAACTTTTAGCAGTTAGATTGTACATAAAGTATATTTCAAGTATTTATGTCCCTAATGATCAACAACTACGTACAATGGCTACCCTGTTGAATGGTGTGACTTTCTTATTTATAAGCACATTATTTTTGTGATGGCCATTTTTTCATACATTAATAAAACAAGGTAAAAAATAGTGGAATTTAGGGGGGCTGGAGTGATAGCACAGCAGGGAGGGCGTTTGCCTTGCACGCGGCCGACCCAGATTCGATTCCCAGCATCCCATATGGTCCCCTGAGCACCGCCAGGGATAATTCCTGAGTGCAGAGCCAGAAGTGATACCTATGCATCACCGGGTGTGACCCCAAAAGCAAAAAAAAAAAAATAGTGGAATTTAGGGACTGAGGATGTGGCGAAGTGGTAAGGGCTTACATTCAATTGTTAGCCCTGAAAAATAAAGTGAAATTTAGATTTAAGATTGGCCCCTCTTCTTCTTAAGACTAGCAAATGTCCAGGGATCCTTTTTTTTCTTTTCTGTTTCTGGACCACTTCCAGTGGTACTTAGGATGCCATATCTGGAGCCAGGTCACAGAAAAACTGGGTCTTGTATGTGTAGCTAGATAAGTATCTTAGCACCTGTATTATGTCTCCAGACAGTTTTTATTTCCAGTGTTAATATTATGTGGGCTGGAGCGATAGCACAGCGGTAGGGCGTTTGCCTTGCACGCAGCCAACATGGCCGACCCAAGTTCGATTCCTCCGCCCCTCTCAGAGAGCCCGGCAAGCTACCGAGAGTCTCTCGCCCGCACGGCAGAGCCTGGCAAGCCACCCGTGACGTATTCGATATGCCAGACAGACACAGTAACAACGAAGTCTCCAATGGAGACGTTACTGGGCCCGCTCGAGCAAATCGACAAACAACGGGAGGGCCTTTACCTTTACCTTTACCTTACCTTAATAATATGTGATTCTACCTCCAGGTGTCTATCCTTGCAACTTTTTACTCTTAGAGGGGCTGGAGTGAGAGTAGAGTGGGTTGGACATTTGCCTTTCATGCAGCCAATTCGGGTTTGATCCCTGGCACCCAGGCCCAGGTGTGGCCCCCAAAACAGAATTTTATTTATTTTTAAAGACGTGTTACTCTTACAAAGGTCTGTACTGCTCTAAAATACTATTTGTCCAGAATGTTCTGGATTTCTAGCAGTCCAAAAGTTATCACAAAAACGTAATTTTATTTAATAAACTTCTCAGTCAAGACTAATAGGAATTGTCAAGAAATAAAAAGTCTCTGGTATTGAGTTAGAGAGAGAGCTCACGGGACTTGAGAGAATACATGTCAAGGCCTGGGTGTGATCCCTGGAACCCCATAGTACCCCACACTGATAGCAGCAGACCCTGAGCACTACTGGCTATGGTCTTTTTTTTTTTTTTTCCCCAGTTTTTGGGTGACACCCAACAGTACTTAGGGGTTACTTCTGGCTCTGCACAGTGCCTTACCTGCTGTACTGTCCGGCCCTGTTTGGTCCAAAACTCTTTTATGAAATTCTCATCAAAATGTTTAATTTATGTCTACTATAAAATCTATAATATGAATATTTACATTAATGAATTTTTTTTAAATTTTTTTTTTCCTTTGGTGGGTTGGGGTGAGCATACCAGAATACTTAGGGGACTGTGCTCTGCTGGGGAACCGAGACCTTCTGCAGGCCAACCATGTGCTCTAGCCTTTGAGCTGTCTTCCCAGCCCATACCATATAATAAAATAAACTTACCATAGTTATAATTTACGTCTGATATGATTGTTTATCTTATGTCTTACTGCAACCATCTAAGCACATAGAAAAATTGTTTATTTGGATCTAATAGTTTAAATTTATTAAGTATTTTAGTAAAAAAGATTTCCACAAGCTAGAAGTAACATGGCTAAAAGTGGAATTTATTTAGTATACCTTTAACATATGGTCGTGTACTACAGATTGGCATGATTTAGTAATGTAATATTCCCTGTGGAAAACGAATTGACAATGAAAAGAAAATATATAAAGGCAACCAGAGCTCGTAGCTGTCTGGAACTTTGGTTGTTGCTAGGGTATCTTGTGTCAGTCTAACTAACCTTGAAAGCCACTGCACCAAACAGTTCATGGGAGATGTGTGACTGATGAACTTTTTTTTTGTTTGTTTGTGTGACAGCAATGGCTAGTAAGTCATGCTGCTAATTTACCTCCAAAGGTTAGTGTAGTAATTCTTTTGACAGTGCTGGAGAGGCAGTATAGTGGGTAAGGTGCTTGCCTTGTACATAGCTGACCTGGTTTCATCTCCAGCATCCCATATGATCCCCAAGTACCCCCAGAACTGATTCCTAAGTGAAGACCCATGAATAAATCCTGAGCATCCCTGGATATGACTCAGAAACAAAACAAGAAGTTCCTCTGACCTCTTTAGTGCTGGAACTCAAGCTGCAGGCAGTTCTGCTGTGGTGGCAGAACACAACATCGTGAATGTACTGCCGAGACCTTTGCTAACTTGGAGGTAATGGACCACATTTCCCTTTAATATCTGCCTACCAGCATAATCATCACATCATTTCATGCTGGTGACAGGCAGAACTCAGCTGTACAGAAGAAGCACTAAAAACTCAAGTCATTTTCCAGTGACTTTGAGACAACCAAAAATTCATATGGTAGTGTACTACAGATTGGCATAATTTAGTAATGCTAAATTATGACGGCTCTGGGTCTGGATGCACAGTTGGGCATTCAGCTATGGTGATGCCCTCAACATATCTATGCCCATAATTGCTTCATCAGGCAGGGGCAAATTCCCCTAGAAGCCAGCAATTCTGGAGTTTAACTCTCAGGATCTCTGCATGGGGAAGGGGAGGCTAATGTTTCCTCTACTGCCACCGCCCAGTCATCAGTGTTTGATAGTCCCTCAAGGTCCCCATGTTGAAGTGAAAGCCACCCATGTCACCATGATAACAGAACATTTCTGATAACAAAAGAGAGGCTAATGGCCAGGCCTGAGAGATGCTGACTCCATGCCCATGAGGACCTCACTAATCAGAACAATTACCTGTGCTTGGTGGTGTTAACAAATCACTGATAATCCAACATAACTCTTCCTTGTTCACTGTCATTGTGGATACAAAGCCTCCTCTTCCCAAGCTGAACTGAAACTGAAGTTACAAAGTGAGGGAAAAAAGAAGAGAAACAGTTGGCCTTGGCCTAGGCCACCCTGAATTGAACTTTTCTTAATTGATCAACAACCACAACTTTGCCAGACCCCAGTCACAGCACCCATGATTCCAAAAGTGGGGATAAGGACAGAAACTTGGGGCCAGAGAAATAGCTCAATAAGCTGAGTGCATGCTTTGTATGTTGAAGTCCACGTTCAGTAACCAACACTGTGTCAGCGCAGAGCTAGGAAGCAGCCCCCGAGCATTGCCAGGGAGGGCCCAAAATCTAAAATCGGTGGACATACACACTGACACAGAAACATGATTGACAATTTGGGCCTCTTTAAACTAAGAAGTTTGATTAGGTAGGTTTTGTTTGATTAGCTAGGTTTGATTAGGCCTCTTTAAGAAGTTTGGTTAGGTAGGTTTTGCCATGAAACCTACAGAGGAGCCAAGAGGCCTTCTCCAGTGGAGCTGATCCATGTACAGACCACGTGAATGGCGGAAGATTGAGCCATCTTGAAGCTGCCCACGTCGAACATCCCAGGAACCAAGGGAAAGACTCTAGTGGACCATAGGGCTTGTATCTCTGTTCACAATCAGTGGCTTCTATAACTCCTATTCCAGGGATTGAAGGAAGGATGTCTGATTCCCTGTTAACTTTAACTGTCACATAGGAAAGATTCATGGTGTTGGGATTTTTTTTTCTTTTCCTTCTGAACTTTGGGGGCCAGATAGATAGGTCTGGGAATAACCTGGATTTAATACCAGTACCACATATGGTTCCCTGAACCCCACCAAGAGTGATTCCTGAGCATAGAGCTGGGATTAAGTTCTGAGCCCTTTGGAGTGTGGTTTCAAAATAAAAAAACAAAACAAAAAAAGCTTCTAAGCTGAGGCTAGAACTGAAGATAATTGGTTTCTGAGATGCCTTTGTGCTTTGTGTGGAAAAAGCTGTTTTGTACTGCTTGGATCAAAAGATGAATAATATCAATACTGATGGGAACGGAAGTAAGAATCGCGTTACCTATTGTTGGGTAACTTGGGAAGTGGTGGTTTTTGGGCTATACCTGACTCTGCTTGCGAGCACTCCTGGCCATCTTAAAGTGCCATTTGTGGTGCCATTGATAGAACTGTGGTTTGCTTCAAGCAAGGCAAATGCCTTAACTCCCTGTGCTATATCTCAGACCTCACTACCTTCCATTGTATTGTTGAGCCTAGATAGAAATTTAATTTTTTTTTCTTTTTGGTTCACACCTGGCGATGCTCAGGGGTTACTCCTGGCTCATGCACTCAGGAATTGCTCCTGGCGGTGCTCGGGGGACCATATGGGATGCTGGGAATCGAACCTGTGTCAGCCATGTTGGCTGCGTGCAAGGCAAACGCCCTACCTGCTGTGCTATCACTCCAGCCCTAGATAGAAATTTTTTAATAATAATCTAGGATGTGATTGAGATCTGGGCACAGATCTGTTTGCAGTCAGGGGACCCCTCTTCCTCTGGAGTCGCATTT